GCCCGGGCTCCCCGGGAACTCCTGGCAGCCGCTCCCGCACCCCCTCCCTGCCGACCCCGCCCACCCGGGAGCCCAAGAAGGTGGCAGTGGTCCGCACCCCACCCAAGTCACCGTCCTCAGCCAAGAGCCGCCTGCAGACGGCGCCCGTGCCCATGCCAGACCTGAAGAACGTCAGGTCCAAGATTGGCTCCACCGAGAACCTGAAGCACCAGCCCGGCGGTGGGAAGGTAAGGCCAGGCTGCTGGGAGACTGATGCGAAGGGGCGGGCCGTTCCCCTGGGACCCCGCCCACCACAGAGGGATGCGGTGGCTCCGCCCAATGAGGTCCCCTCCTGCAGCGCCCTGACCGCCTACCCGCCCCTCTCCTGCACAACCCCCTCAAGGAAGAAGGATCCGGTTGTGGCTCCATTCTTGGCCCGGTCACTGTTGAGTCATGATGGCCATCTGTGACGAGGAGCAGCACCCTAGACAGCCAGCACTCACAATTCCCTCTCAGCAGGGGCAGTGGTCTCACCCCACTGCGGACAGGCAGGGGGTCCCCAGACTGATTTGATTTACTTTATACCTTGGCTCATAGGTGAAGGGCAGGCAGGGCTGTAAGTCCAGTAAGTAAGCATGGACTTGCTTTGCTTCCTTAGTAAGCTGACTGAACAGTTCCACAGAAAACAGAAGTAGAACTAACTGTTCACAAGAGCTGACAAAGGAAGCACACGTAAGCCCGTGTGTACCCTGCTGCATGGGTACTCCAGCCCTGGCAGACTGCCTGGTTGAGAAGAGGGAGAGGCTGTGGGTTTGGGGGAGAGACAGGCCAGCCATTCCTGGACCAGCAGCTGGATGTTTGTGGTGCAACAATGTGGACGTGCTCAGTCCCCATTAGTAAGTGAGCACAAGCAAGTCCCGGCTTGCCTTGCTTGCTGATTGCATAATCCGACACTGAGGTCCGGCCTCTCTGTGGGACCTTCTCTGTCCAGCCTTCGGCCTGTGCTCCTCCTTCTCTGGAGGCTCTGGACTCCAAGCCCCAGGCCCCCCTGCAGGGCCCTCCACAGTCTCCCCAGGCAGACAGCCTCTTCCTGTGGCCGGAAGCTTCCTCTTAGTGGGCTGTCAGTGTCCCAATGGCTGACGGCCTCGGGCCGACTGCGACCGTTGCTGCCCTCATTTTACACTCCGTGCAGTGTCACCTGCCACCTGCCTCCCACCCCTTCTAGAAGGGACACTTGGGCAGCTGCTGTGAGGTGGGTGCTGGCTTGAAGCCGATGCCTCTGTGGGGCTGGCAGGGCCAAGGACCCCCCAGCAAGAGGGTTTCCAAGGCAGGATGGTCGCTCTCCCACCCTGGCCTGCCCTCACTTGGCATGCCCAGTGTCACAGCACATCCTGTGACACAGAGGAAAAGTACATACCAGCTCTCTCCCAGAAAGCTGCACGGCTGTGTCACCCATGGCCACACACGGCCCTCCACCCGCTGATAGCGGGTGCTCTGCACCGTTGTGCGTTAGGGAAGGCCCATCGGTAATGCAGGAATGATGGCTTTGTTAGCCCTGGGGCTCTACACAGCAAGATTGCTGAGTGCTCCGAGCCCGGCTGGGCCTGGGCCCGCTCTCTAATCCAGGCTCTCGTGTGGCAATGTCCCTGGGGACACAGGAGGCCAGGAAGTCTCCCTCCCGATGGCTGCTACTGAAAGCCTCACTTTGCCCACCCAAGCCCATCTTTAGCCTTTAAAAGAAAGCGTTCACTGAAGCCTCCCCATACCCCACCCCGTGACCTCCACGGGGTGTGGGACCGTGGAGACCTCGAGGTCTCCCCTGCACCCAGGTCTCTAGGCCCAGAGGATTCCCACAGCCGCCCACTAAGGCCTGTGGACTGTGACCATGGGCTTCAGCCAGGAGCACCTCCCACCAGAAGATCCCCCGCCCACCAGAAGTCCCACCCTGGCCTGTCTCCGCCCATCTCCTCCCCAGTGCCTGTTCCCACATTCCTTGTTGTTCCACCCAGTTTCTTAGCTGTCTCTGGAATCTTCCCTACCACCATCTGGTTCCTGGTTCCACGTCCTGGTGCTTCAGGACTCTGCCCAGCGTCCCTCCCCTGACCTTCCCAGCCTGCCAGCAGCACCCCTGCACCCCCGCAGGGCTCTGCCCCGCCCCAGCGCCTACCCCTCCCAGGCTTTCTGTGTTCCCTTGGGACACTGCTCTCCAGCCTCCCTGCATCACGCCTTCCATCTGCTGAATGCCCTTCCACCCCCACCTCTCCCCTTGCCCCCTTATCTCTGCCCTTCCCCAAGGCCCAGCTTCAGCTCCATCTCCTCCAAGAAGTCAGTCTGGATTCCCCCCTTTCCTCAAGGCCCAGGAGACACTGAGCACACACCTGTCTGCTGGGCTATAACGAAGGGAAGAAGCAGGGTCCCTGTCATTTGGGGGTTCATTTGACTTGGTGGTATCTGGGAGTGTCTGGGCATGGAGCCTGGTTCTCCTTCGGGCCCCTGGCCCTCGTCTGAGGGAGAGCCGCTGTCACAGCGAACGGCTCCAGGGAAACTCTCCACCAAGGCCCCTTTCAGGACACCCGCTGCCTGTGACGCCCCAGTGAGAGGATGGGGGCTTCACTGGGCAGAAACCGAGGTTCGGCATCTGCTAAAGGGCTAAGGAGGAAGAATGACTTTGAGGGGAAGAGGTGTGGGGAGCTCAGTGGCCAAGGGAGGAGTCCCAGCTCCCCTTAAATCCCATGAAACCCCGAGAAAATGGAAAGGAAGACCATCTCAGCTATCACTCGGATCCAGGGAAAAGGAGAAGTGAGATTGGGGGAGGCCAATGGGACCCCGGAGAAGGCTTTTGGAGCGACCTGCTCAGGTGACTCGTGTCTCCTGAGGTCTTTGTGCTCTGTGGCCTGAATACTCCATCAACGTTCAGCTACCACAGGGACCAGTCCCTGGAGAAGGACGTCACCCTGGCTAAGTGGCCAGGCCGTGAAAAAGAGGCAGGTCCCTCCACAGGATGGATGGCCACGGTGGCTGCCACAATGGGCTTACCGTGAGGCCGGCAGAGGGCCAGGCGGTGTTTCACTCTGTCGGCCACTAGCACCACTACCCCAGGGGCAGGGCTGTAGCAGTCTGGACACTCACTCCGCTGGGATATGGGAGCCCGCCCTGAATAAGGAAAGGAAAAGCACATCAGATGGGCAGGCATCCGCTGCGCAGAAGCCTGTTTCCTCTGAGCTTTTCGGTCTTTATCATTGGCTCCAGTGATGCATGCGTTGGACTCCTAGCACTCGGTCACAAAATACCGCCAGGGGGGGTGGTTTCAGGAAGAGAAAAGTTCTCTCTCAGGCCAGGAGACTGGCAGGCTGAGGGCAAGGTGCTGGCACTAGGGCAAGTCTCTCTGCCGCTCTGAGGAAGGAAGGTCCTGCCCCTCCTTGCATTCCTTGCTGAGTCCGTGCTGGTGCCCCTGGGGCATCTGTCTTCTCCCAGCTATGCCCACTGGCGTCCCAGTCTTAGCTGCTACTCTTACGGCTCAGCCGGGATTAGGCTTAGGACAGACCCTACTTAGTGTGGTCTGTAACCAAGCAGGCAGTAGGTTGCATGACGGAAGATGATTCCATTGGATTCGTGATTAGGCTGAAGCCAAATTAATTTTAAAGGGAAATCCAGATGTTGGTGGACCCACACTGGTTCCACTGAGAGTGGGTGTGAAGGAAAGTATGGAGGAGGGGTCTGGAGAGTCTGCCTGCTCCTGAGAGTCCTGGGGCCACTGGGCTCGATTCTGCCTGCAGAACAGAATATCCTGGGGGTGCCTGGGCCTCACCCCATCCCATTAGACCCTCAGCAGTGGGATCCCCCAGGTGGTCCAAGGTGTAGTCCAGGCTGACAGAAAACCGAGCTCACTGCCAGCAAGTCGATTCTGATTCCTAGAGACCCCACAGGACAGGGTGCCACTGCCCCCGTGGGTTTCCGAGACGAACTCTTTCCGGGAGGAGAAAGCCTCATTTCTCCCCCAAACCGCTGGCCTTGCAGTTAGCAGCCCCGTGCGTAACCACTGCGCCACCGGCGCCCCAGCACACTACCTCTGACCCCAGCCCTGAGCGGGGCCCTGCCGCGCATCCACATCCACTGGCTGGTTTTCCTCCCCACTCCTCGGGATGCTCAGCCCCTACCCCCGCAGCCCAGGCTGGGTCCCCAGGCCCTCAAGTGTTGCTGCCCCATGTGTTTGTGTGGATGTGGGTAAGGGAAGAGGCAAAGCACCAAGATGGGCAAAAGTATAAAATGTTCAGAGCAATTACGTTCATAGAGGTTATAAATGGGTCCTCTCCATTTGCCTGGCCCCCTCCCCAATTTTTTTTTAAAATAACGAAAGTACTTATAGTCAGAACAAATAAAATAAAACCAGATGGGCATCCATGCCCTTGGATGGAGAAATGTGACTAGGCAAGGTGGTTGGTTGCCAGGGAGCCACCTCATGGCCACCTGTGTGTCTAGAGGAAAGGGGAACCACTGCCCCTGTGCGGGATTAGCAGAGCGAGATGACGCACACAGGACCGACCGGGTGCCTCCGAGAGGGGGGCATCCGCAGGAAAACCCAGGTTTTCCTGTAAGACAGGAGGTCTCCTGTTACCTGCTGTCACGTGTTCAGAGACTGTACCAACAAAGAATACTTCTCAGCGGACAGGGCCAAACCAAGCTCCATCCAGGCGATTCCGACCCAATCCAACCCAACCCCATAGGCAGAGTAGAGCGGCCCCTGTGGGTTTCTGAGACTAAATCTTTGTGAGAGCAAAAAGCCTCATCCTGCGCCCAAAGAGCAGCTGGTGGTTTCAAACTCTGCAGTTAGCAGCCCAACACGTAACCCCTTGCGCCCCCGGGCTCACCTCTGAATATGGGGAAGCAGTGATGACTCCCCTTTGTGCTCCGGCCACGACCTAAGAAACCAGGGATTAGTTGCACAAGTGTCACCCACATAGCCAGTTCCTTGGAAATCCAAAATGTGAACCCGCTCCCATGTACCTGTGTTTGTCCAGGGGGGAGAGGAAGGACCCTCATCTGCAATGGTGAGGACCCCAAATTAGGTGGGGGTGCCCCAAAGAACGCATGGTCATTTCCTGTGATTTATTGAGATTCGAGGGCAAGTTTACGGCGTCCATGGGGTCCCACGAGAAGGCAGAGTTCTCAGTGTTTGTGCTAAGGAAGGAAACTACAGCAGGAGGGAAGCGGGGCGGGGTTAAAAGAAATAAGAATAAGGAAACAAAGG